GGCAATGGTTTATTATTTCGGCCAACTTCAATCTGGAAATCTCGGCCAACATATCCAATTGTAATAATATGTTCAGCAGGATAGTATATCCTTCCATCAACTTCGGGACTTATTGAATAAAATTTGATATAAATCGATCTCCCTTGGGCAAATTTTGAAACTTCTGCCCTGAATATATCATCAAATTTTTCAATTTCTTTTAAATCTTTTCCTGAATAGATCAAATCCAGAAATCCATAATCTGCTGCCATTTTGACCATGAAAGGGTCTGCATCTTTGGTAATTATTAATCTGGGATAAACATGATCTCCTGATACAATAAAATAAGATTCATTTTCTTCCAATTCATAAACAATCTTGGCAAATGACCTATATTCTTCTTCTTTTGATGATAAAGGGGTATCATCATCTTCTTCAATTTTGATTCTTATAACTCTTGTATGTTCATCACTATTTGTTATAGTCACCTTCCGGGGACTTGTTATATCTCGTTTGATATTGCTGGGTCTACTGCTGCTTCCTGGCTGGGTACCTGTTTGTATTTTTGAGATTGTATCAATTGACATTTCCTGTTTGGTATCTAATGACTCGAATTGTGAAGTAATATCAACAATTCTGTCATTCAATTCTTTGGTATATTTGGAATGAGAATTAGAGATTTCCACCAATAATTAACATTTTGTTGGATACATTCTGCCATTTCCTCTAACTGGTCAATTCCAATTTTCATATCTTCAGATTCTTCCATCAGAAATTTCATTCGTCTGTTGACGTCTATTAATGAATTTTTGATATTATCCATCTCCAAATTCAATATTCCTGCTCAAAAAATCTGTAAGATAGTTATTTATTCATTTAATATGAATAATATCAAAATTGTAAAACGATAAATATGCTTGCCATCTGTGTAACCTTCTATATTAAGGTTCCATAGGTAACTTATTTCTAATAAGACCTGCAACTTGAGAATTATCAGTTTCAACAATGAATTTTTTAGATAAAAGGAATAATGAAAACTTTTTTATTCCTCTAATAATTGCTAACAATTCTTTCTCATGGGTAGTATAATTTATTTTTGCTTGGTTAAAAGTTCCACTTGAATATTTGCATATTTCATTTAAATCTGTTTTTAATATAGCTGCCCAATATTTATCCGAGGCATCAGTATTAACAATTAAATTATCTTTTTCATCTGGTAATCTTAATTTTGGTAAATTTTTACATTCGTCTTTTAATGCTTTAACAATTTCAGTATGTTCTTTATTCCAGCCTTTAGTATTTGTTTTCCTAAGTATAATTTGTATTTTATGTCTCTTTTTTGAAAGATTTTCAATAAATCCTTCAGCATAATTTAAACATCCTAAAAATTTTTGTATTTGTTCTTTGAATTTTAATTCATCTGGAAAGCTTTTTATCTTTTTAGATATATGAGTCTGTAATTTTATTCCTTTTCTATCTATTAATAATCCTAAAAATTCTATTTCTTGTTTCTCTATTATAGATTTCTTTTTAGAAAGTACAATCCCTTCCTTTTTGCATTCATTTATGAATTGTAATAAATGACTCCTATACTCTTTTTTATTATTAGAGCATATTAATATATCATCAATATAAACAATAAGAAAATCACTATACTTTTTGAATATGTTATCCATTTTTCTTTGATATATTTGTGGTGCATTTTTTAAACCAAATGGCATAACTAACCATTCATATTTTCTTTGAGGTGTACTAAAAGCTGTATATTATATACTATCTTCTTCCATTTTTATTTGCTAGAATCCTGATTTACAATCAAATTTGGAATAATATTGTTTTCCTTTTACAAGGTTTATTAGGACTTCTTTATTTGGTAAAAAGTAACCATCAAATTTAGTATATTTGTTTAATTCTTTATAGTTTATTACCATTCTAGCTTTTCCTCTAACCTGCTCAGAATGTTTCATAATCATAAAAGCTGGACTACTATGAGGTCCATTACTAGGTCTAATTAACTTTTGTTCTAATAATTCTTTTATTTGAATTTTAAATTCTTGCATATCCTGTAAGGTATACATTATTGGTCTAACTCTTATTATAACATTTTCTGTTAATTCTATTTTAGCTTTAGAATGATATGGTTTCCAAAATAATAATGGATTTTCTCTATAAATTTTTCCTAATTGTTCTATGATTTTTCCCATACTTATCTCTATTTCTGTTTTTAGAATCTTTTTATATGATAGTTTTTTATTTTTTAATTCATCTTGTACTATTGGTCGTTTTTCCCATTTATCACCACGCTGGGCTGGCTGAACTTTGTAGGGTCTAAATTCTCTTGATAT